CACCACCTATATGTTTTTGATTTATATATGTTTTAATAGCTGCTGTATTTCCTGTCTTTGTGTTCGTGCTTTATTTTACGGGCTCTCCCATGCAAACTGTTTATTTTTCGAAGCCGTATCTGTTAATGTTTTGTATACTGAGACTGATACAGCTGTGTGTAATGTAAAAACACCTTAGCTGCTGGGATCAACATAATCACTAGCTGTGCTTAGCAGGTTTTTGATATGCTTCGTGTTATGCAGGTTCTTGCAAATTAGTTAAACATTACGAATGGCTAACTGGGCTCAAGGTAGCAGAAAATTAAAACTATTTCTGTGAGGTGACATGTTGTAAGTAGTGTTTGAGTAAATGAGTCTCAATTTAAAAGCCGCCACTTTGTGCTCAGTAACTCAGATTGCAAATCAGATGGCACAGAAAATGTTTAAGTATACACACCCTGAATGATAAATACCAATGTCTGATATATTTGATGGGTGCTTAAAGTGACGTGTCATCTTCATTCCTTCAGTGACAGACCTTTTTTTGGGGGGTGGGGTTGGCGTGGGTCATTCCAACACTATCGACTTAACAATCAATGGATACATGTAAGAAATGACTTGAGTCCAACACACCTAACACAGTAGGTGTGTGTGGAAATATGAGGCCATAATAATGGTTTTATGGCAGACCATAAAAGTTGATAAAGTTTAGGGGATTCATGTTTCTTCTCACGTTTACCTTTTAAGACTTTCAGGAAGGAGAATGAAAATCTCTTTCCTGAAGATTTTTTTTTCTTTGCATGTATGTATCGCAGTTTTCTGTAGTTTTCTGTTATTTACCTTTTGTCTTATGTTATGTCTTAGGTCTTATGTTTCACTAAGTTTTAAGACTGGGTTTTTATTCTATCAAAATATTTACTTTCGTTTCTTTTTTTTTCTTTAATGGGATTAAGTAATATACTTGGCAAGAATTGTTCAGCGGCAAGGTTCACGAAATTCGGAATAGATTTGTGAGGCAGTTGAGTCACGTAGACACCCAAGTTCCAATAAACTATTACACGAATTCACAGGAAACTTGTGTCATTACCTTGAAAGGGAGACAGAAGCAAAGGCTGGAGTTGAACTTGGGGCGCTGCAGTAAGGCCTACTGATCCTTAATGCAAGGTGCAGTTACTCTACCAGGTGGGCCGCCAGGGCACAACAAAGGGCTTCTCTCTTTTTTAGTTTTTGGTTTAATATAAATGCTAAAAAACTCCCAGGCACTTTGTTTTAAGTGACAATTAAAACACTCTATTTCTTATACCACTATTATGTTTAATTGAGAGAATAGAGTTGGGTTTTTTTGTTTTTTAGATTGAATATATGTTTTGTATGAGAATGAAGCCTTTTTAATTCTTCAGATTTTGACAAAGTCTATATATAATCTTCTGAAGAGCAAACAAAACCATTTTGAATCTGTGCAAATATTTTTTTAAGCTCAGAAATTTAAGACAGTACATCATTGAGAATGAAAAACAGAACGACTGAAATGCAGGAAACGAGCAGTTTCTGGGTTTGTTCTTATGAAGAGAATTCCTGGCCCAGCTACTTCCTCCAACCTTCTTTTTGTGACCTTGTCCTTCTCTCATTTAGTTGGACCATGATAGTTTGGCAACTAATCACAGACTGCAGAATTGAACCACTTTGATCTCTTTTATTCAGTAGATTTCGCACCATGGTGCGCGTTGGGGAGAATTTGCTGATTTATTTATAATGCCCTGTGAATATTTTATTTTCATTGTGGTCATGGACTCTGTTTTAATGGAAAAGACACTGTTTTGCACATCAGAGGTTCAACTTAACAAGTCTTTTGTTCTCATAGTTTTTTCCTCTTTTTTTTGCTGCTGTTATCACATGGACCATGTCAGTGAACTGTGTGGTCATAGTCATATTGTGGAACCTCTGATCTTTCTGTTCAGGTTTCATATCTATGTGAACACAGGTGCTGGCATACTGAAATGTGATACAAGTCACATGGCAAGGATAGAGTCACGATCCAGAATCTGATTCTCCTGGCAGGTGTAGTTGAACTGACTCAAATCACATGATTAGTTGTGAATATAGTCCCTGGAAAAAAAAATCTTGCCACCTTAACTCAGTTTCTGCAAACTCGTATTTTACTTCGAAAGTTCTGATCATAAGTGATTCATTTCAAATTTGTTTCTGTTCCTTCTGCACCTTAAGCTCAAAAACCAGAAATCCTCATAGTCAAACATTAACCAAGTCTTTTCATTAGCAGTGTTTGACTTTCAGAGGGTGAAACAGTTAATTTAGCTTATCTTCTGTGCTTTCTTTAGCACATCAACTGACCGTGTTTATTCTAGTGAGACAATAAAGTACAATTGGAAAATGCCAGAAGACTAGCAGAGCCATAGCCATACGTCTGGAGGTTTATTAGATGCCAAAACGGTATGATGTTTTGGCATCTAATAAGCAAATGTGAAACAAATGATTCCAGTCATTTCATCCTCTATCGCAGCTGATGCGAGGGAGACAATAAGAATATGCCTGTTCCCAAATGACATGCATTCCGGTTCTTTACTGGACCACACGGTCCCTCCCAATTGAAATGTGTGAGCTCATGGCTTTTTACCGTCTTATTGTTTAGCCGTGTGTCTCTGTGTACACCTTTCTGGGTGTGTGTCTTTTTCTTTGAACACCTTCCTTCCTCGTTCTTATTCAGGTTTATTTTTCTCTCCTCAAACACTTAAAATTTATCATGTTCAACAATGCCCCTTATTGTTTAGAAGGACGTTGTAAAATGTATATGGGTTTAAGACAATCAGATAGAAGCATACAAATCAGTTCTATTGCTGACCAAACACTGCAGAGATCTTTTAAAGTAAATTTTCATAGCAGGCAAGGCTTTGGTTTAGTTGGTTGTCTAATCTCTTGATTAGAGATTGTCCTCATCTGTCTGTTCCTCTGTCTGACATTGCTCAAGTGTTTTGAACCTGCCTGTTAATGTCAAGCTTTTGGTTCTGCTATTAAAGCTTTCAGCCTGGTGAATTAATAATCATCTAACAATATTCAGAAACGGTAGTTAGGGCTTGCATAATGACTTTGTTTTCCGGGAACAAAGCTGTGTAGCTTGCGGGCTCTGACCCAGTACAAGAGTTTTAGCTGCAACAGTGGGATTTTCTCTGGCTTTTAAAGAGGCTTAGCAATGCCAGTTCAGTTGGCCTCAGAAAAACTGGAGGCTGAAGAATCTCTTTATTAGTAATAACTGTGAGCAAACACAAGGGTACTGAAAGGTCAGTTTGATGAACTTAAGTAAAATATCCTATGTAGTCATTGGGAAAGCTTTGATATTAAATATCACTCTCTTAGTTTTTGCGGACAACAGTTCAGTAAGATGGGAACACTGGTACTCAAACAAAATGGCAGATAGGAGAGGAAGTAAAACTTTAGTCCCCAAACAGACCATATGGTACAAGAGACAATAATTATGTGTGGTGCCTTAAAAACCAAACTTGAAAACAGTTGTTTCTATGTTTATTGCAGTTCTTTTCTTCATCACAAGGAAACATGGCTGTGCCTGACAATTATAATATGCAAACTCTGTTTCAGCTGAGTGGCACAAAACCCAGAAATTCGATTCCAAGTAATCTGATGGTCGATTTAGGTTTTATATTAACCAAAAATGGCAAAGAGCTCATTTTATCGTTAGTGCTTAAGTCAGTGCACTGGAGTTTTTTCATGGTTTTCCTGATTTGAGATTGTAGCTTTCATAACATGGCACAGGGCTTTATTTCCATATGGTTGTTGCCAAGGCTCTTAAAAAGGTTTGTAACTGGCTCTGTTTGATGGTCTTACTTACATGATCCAGATGACTGTTTAGGAGATTTAGGTACTTTTGTAATTTTGAAATCTTACTGTTTTTGCAAAGAGAGGCAAATCTTTTATCTGTCAGTATTTTCCTGTCGTGCCAATTTCTGTTCCTGTTTATCTCTACTACTGCGCTTCTCTTATTGTAGAACTGTTGAATCCAAGTAGGCCAGGTGGGTTGTGTAACACACAGCCAAAACTGTGAATAAGATAGGGAAGAAAGGAGTGAAATGGAAAAGTGCATTTATACACTGTTTTATTGAGTCTGGAGCCTAAATGGGTCTACCTGCCTTTCCTTTGCTTCATCAACATAAAATACAGTTTGTGGTACATATTTCAATACTGACCAGTTAAGCAAAAGTAAACTTTTCCTCCGAATATACTTTCAGACACGTACACTCATCAGCTAGATCTCATTTTGCACGTATTCTAACATGCAACCATGTCCTGTCTGGGCAAATAATAGTTCACATTCATACAATGGCCGTATTGAGACACACATGCACACTCTAAAGGGGCAGGAAGTCAATAGGAACACAGCTAATATAGACACATTAAATGGGACTCTTTGTGCATACGGGCAGGCACAGGTCTGTAAGACACTATGGCACAGCTTTACTGAACAATCTTTATTGGTTTAATTATTGTATTCAGCTCTCCAGCTGACCTTTAGACAGCCTGATATCTCAAACCTTGAAGATTTCATTAGCGAGCAAGAAGAGCAGAAAAACAGAATGGGGAGTGAAGAAACAGGAAAGAAAGGATTTTAATGACAAAAGATGAAAAGAAAATGGGCTTGGAGCATAGAAAAACTAGAAGAAGAGAGGGAAAACTGAAACTCGCTGTTGTGGGTTTTTATTGCTGCGATTCCAGCTTTGGTATTGGGCCCAATGCATCTTTCATCACTAAATGACCATGAACATGCAATGTATGGATACAAAGCCTGAGAATAGAAACTGGAAGTGGAAAACTATAGCCCACATGAAACCCATTGTTACTACATGAAGTAGCTAATTGTGTTTTTCAACACACCTGCGATTGGTTAATTAAAAATGTTCCATCTTTTTTGTCTCCATCCTTATCCTGTCTTCTTCTGCCATTATCTCCTGTTCTTTTCCCCTCCATCTTTTTTCTCTTCCTGGTTCTCTTCTCAGTGCAGCTAGAAGGGAATCCTGTTCGAGGGATTAGCGGTCTGTCAATGAGGAACTACCGGCTCATCTTCTGCCACAACCTGAAGCAGCCATAGATGGTTCAGTGGTTTACTGGCCAGGGGAGGAGAGGATAGAACACACTTTCACTGCTACACGGTGAGTGCACACAAACACACAACACTTACCGAGCCACATCCGTAATTGAAGGGGAAAATAGACTCGGTGCATTTCTAAGCCATGATCACAGATCAGATGCACAGATGCACATCTGGGTTTTTTTAAGCAGTTTGGAACTTATGTAATACAGTCAACAGTGTGGTAAACTTGCCAAAGCGAGTTTATCATAATGTCTCATTGTCACACTTCCTTATAAACTATTTCTTGGATTTCATTTTATTATCTTTATGATTCTTGGTGCTATAAAGAGCCCAGATGTGAGGATACAAAGAGCACATCATCCTACAGCCAAGCATTAATTAGCTACAACCGATGAACTCTGCCAAGGGCTGTAAAATAAGCAGTCATTGGTACATGTTATGATGGTATCCACTTAGTAATGCGAACAATCTGTTAAAGTAGGGTTAAACATAGTAGCTGTTGATATTGTAAAACAAACTGGATATCAAGAGAGTAAAAGAGAAGCACACTGAATATATGTAGCTTTATCTACTCATTACAAAGAATGCATTGAACGTATTTTAAATGATTAGTGCTGATATTTTTCTATTTTCACCTGAAAATCAAAATGTTTTAACATTGATGTTTGAAACTATTAAAATATGTACTCATATTGTATGTCATTTATATTTATATTGCATTGTATGTCATTATTGTAAACAAGGCCAGATTACTTGCTTACATTTAAAAGACCGCTATCATTAGTTACATAATACTGTAAGATTAGTTTCACTGGAACAAATTGAGATTACATTTCTGATAAACTGATGTTCCTCCCCCAGTGATGAGTGGACTGGACACCATCTGTCGATGTTTGCATTTAGATTACTCACCAAACAACCAACGTCAATATCAGACTTTTCATTTGCTTATTTTGCATTGATTTTCATCCCATCCTGAATGTCATCACCTCTAAAGAAGCTACAGAGGACCACAGAACACATAATATAAGACTGCAGGAAGCAAACAAAGCAATTTGTCATGCAACATTTGTTATAGGATAAAAACACTGGTACAGTATTACAAACTGAAAACCAGACAATTAGTCAGTAGTTATTTTGAATATTGACTACACATTTTAGTCAAAGAAAATTGGAATCTGAATGTTTGCAGGGTAAAGCTTCTCAAAAATGATTGTTTCTTTATTTATTGGTAAATTGATTATGCAGTCTTTGGAAGACTGTAAACAAAACTGACATGAGATGTCCTACTCCCCCACCTACCCTCTTTTTACAAAATCCCTTTGCAGGTCACTACCCTGTAGCTGTGGCCCTGCCCCCTCCCACTCACTGGCACTTAACAGTTAGTAAAGCCAGACAGTCCTGTGTGTCCTGCATGACTGTTTACTGGCGCCTTTAAATAATTATTCTTGGTATCTATAAGCCCGCATGATCAAGGACAAAGTTTTTTTTTTTTTAAGTCAGGCTGCATTCTGTCTTTCTCTCACATTATGTCTGATCTCACCCATTTCTTCCTTTATAAGACGTGAGGTCTTGGCGGGGTTGTGGTGAGGAGGAGGAGGAGCAGGCCATGAGGAAGAGCGTGTCTCCGTTGCCAGGCAACGAGGGCGGGAGCTCAGCCAGCACCACACGGGTTTTTGGTGTTCCTCTGGAGGATGTGACCCACACACACACAATCAGCGGCCATGAGGTTCCTGCACTAGTAAAAGATATTGTCGACTACATTGAGGAGCACGGTGAGTGACTGAGACGCAGTTCAGTTCAGTTTAATTCAGTCCTACATATTTGTTTAATATGCACATTGAAATGCATATCCTAGTCAAAAACGGGTCCAAGATTCCTCACAGTGTTACTGGAGGCTAAAGTAATGCCATCCAGACTTAAGTATCTGGTTAGATACCATATTTCTAAGATTTGAAGGGACAAGTACAATAATATCACTTTCTATCTGAATTTAGGAGTCGGAAATTGGAGGTCATCCAGGTCTTTATGTCTTTAATAAAACTTGCAGTTTTGTGCGGTTTAACTGATTAGTGTGTCATCTGGCTTCAGGGAAAGATAGAGGTGGTATCATCTGCATAGCAGGGAAAGTGTATACTATACATGTATAAAGTAAACAGAACTGGTCCTAGCAAAGAAACCTGTGGAACTCCATAATTAACCTTAGTGTGTGAAGA